ATATGTCCCAAAATCTATCCATATGGGCTGCTAACCACAAGGTCAGCAGTCTGAACCCACCAGCCGCTCCGTGGGAGAAAGAGAAGACGTTTCGATGTTCTGAAGAGTTAGTCTCAAACATTCCCAGGAGCAGTTATCCACTGTCCTACAGGGTCACTGTGAGTCAGTACTGGCTTAAGGGCAGTGAGTTTGAGTTGTGGATGTCTAATGGGTTTTTTTACTTATAATTTTTAAGTCAACTGAGTTCATCATACACACACGTACGCATGTATAACTTTTAACTTGCTCTTCTTCCTTCATGATAACTTTTAGACGTTTTCCTCTGTCAGTGTGAGGTTTACCTCATTCATTCGGTCAGCGACATAATACTTCATGGCCTAGCTATGCCACAATTTGTCCAGCATTTCTGCTTTGACAAACAGTGCACTTCCAGTCTATGTGCACTCAGGTATGTTTTACAGCCCAAATTCTTACAGGTGGAATTGCTACCAATCACCCTCCAGAAAGGCCAGCACTTCAAGCTCCTACCAGTGACGTCTGTTCAGGCTCATTTCCCCATCCTCTTTCCAACAATGAGTCTCACCCTGCACTTCGTCACTGTCAGTCTGGTAGACACAAATGGTATCTCCTTGCCAGTTTAATTTGCTTTTAACATTAGTAAGGTTACACTATTGTCCCGTGTTCATTGGTCACTTGGACTGCTTAGGAAAATTGCCTGCTCATCATTCTTTATTAAGAGTTTTGAATTGTGTGTCTTTTTCTTATTGATTGGTCAGCACATTGCTATGTTAATTATTCATGGCTCTCTAGCCTACACATTTCATAGGGTTTTCCTACTTGATTGGTTGTTAACAATCAGGTATCTCAAGATGCAATCTTTAGACCGGATCATTGGTACCGATAGATATCTCTTCAAGTTTACTGACTCTTCTGTCATTTCTATCAGGCTACTAAAAGCCTGTGCACTGAATTTCTGAATTCAGTTATTGGGTTTACCCCTGACCTAGTAAAACGTTTTTATTCGATTATTTTTATATTTCCTATTCCTCTTCTAAGAGTCACTCTCATTTTTTTATAATTTTATTGGGGGGTTAAGACATCTCTTATCACAATCCACCCATCCATCCATTGGGTCAAGCACATCTGTACATAGGTTGGCATCATCATTCTCATTTCTTTTATGTGTCATTTCTTTTATTTTCATGATCTTAGTTATAATACTTGCTTTACTGTCCTTGTCTGATAATTTCAGCATTTGGGTTATTTTAGGAGTTGTACTGGCACCCTGGGTTAAGAGTTGGGCTGATAGCCACAAGCTCAGGAGTTGAAATCCAATAGCCACTCCATGAGAGAAAGATGAGGTAGCCACTGTCCTTAGAGTAGCAGCCTCAGACACTCTATAGAGCAGTTCTACTCTGTCCTATAGGGTTGCTGTGAGTCCAAATCAACTTGACTCCAGTGTGGGTGGGAGTCCGCATTGACCTCTGTTTATTGACTTTTCCTTTGAGGATAAAGTCATGCTTTCTGGTTCTTTGTATATATTTTTTATTTTATTGTTTGAGATGAACTTCTTTGTTGTGAGATGAACTTGTTTGTCACTAAAGACTCCAAGTCTATTTCAATTTCCCTTTTTCTGGCTCTTTGTATGTTGAGTCATTGTGGATTATATCTGAAACATTAGGCAGATCTAGGGTCTGTTCTTTTGTTTTAGCAGTCTACCTGTTGTTGTTGTTCGGTGCCACCCAGCCACGTAGCTCATAGTGACTCTGTGTACACCAGAACGAAACACTGCCCAGTCCACTGTCACCAGCCTCACCATTGGTCCTCTGCTTCCACCCATGGTTGCAGCCAGTGTCCCTCCATCTCCTCAAGGGCCTTCCTCTTTGTCGCTGCCCCTCCGCCTTACCAAGGATGATGTCCTTCTCCGGGGACCGGTCTCTCCTGGCAACATGTCCAAAGTCTACTTCAGGTAGACTCCAACTGCAAACCCCAGTCCTCCCTGGTGAGCAGCTCAAACCTCGGCGAAAGCCTTCAGTCTTTGGCTGGGCTGCTTGCAGTCGGCTTCGCACATGCCTGCTTCAAAATGTGTATATGAATCTGGGCTTCCCTTTGTCTGACCGTTTCCTTGCCGGGATGTGGCCCTGGTTCTCTAGCAACCAGGTTCTGACCCAGGTTCTATTCCTTGGTTCCTCTGGTCAGAAAGGTTGGGCGGCCTGGAACTTTGGCTGACTTCTACCACACTGAGGTCTGTCCTCTGGGCAGCCACAGAAAGTACAACTTACCTCCCCCCATCTCAAAACTGTCCTGTTCTGTTCACTCCCCAAAGCCCTCCATACTTGTTTTAGTAGTTTTTTCCCCAGAGCTAAGGTTGCTATTGTGGTCACACATTGGGCTGCTAACTGCAAGGTCAGTAGTTGGAAACCACCAGCTGCTCCTCGGGAGAGACCAGGCTGTCTACTCCCATAAGGAGTTACAATCTCCGAACATCACAGGGTAGTTCTACCCTCTCCTGCAGGATTTAGGTATCAACTTGCTGGCAGTGAGTTTGGCTAGGTTTGGGTACTGTTGCTCTCTGTAGAAGGCCCCCCTGTTAAGGGCTCATTTGTCCATACCAGGAGTAGAACTCGGGTTTATTCATTATGAATAGTTTTGATATCTGTGAGCTTAATATTTTTACCAGATCAAATGTAGCAGTCTTTCCTTTTGTGGCTTCTGAAGCTGGTTTTCTGCTCTGAGCTACCTTTTCCACTTCACAAGCATAAGAATTTTTTTTCAAATTGGATACAGCTTGGATTCATGCTAGACTTACATATTCTTCCAGTTGACTGAAAACTGTCAATGCAGATAGGAATGTAGCTGCAGTGGAAGCAGAGAGAGGGGAAAGGGCAGGAATGAGTAAGGGATGGAATGAGTAAGATTTTGATGAATTGTTCCTGCTGATGGAGGGGAAGAGACTAAAACTGTAGCTGAGAGACAAGGTGGGTAGCAATGACATCGACGAAGAAAGACATCTTAGGAGTCAATTCACCATGATCGAGTTGATTTTGACTCATAGAAACCATATAGGACAGAGTAGAACTGTGCCCCTGTGGGTTTCTGATACTTTACATCCTTATGAAAGTAGGAAGCCTCGTTTTTCTCCCTTGGAGCTGCTGGTGGCTTGGAACTGCTGACCTTGTGGTTCGTGGCCTAACCTGTATCCAACTACGCCACCAGGGCCTTATTTTAGGCTGGGATATATAATTCTTTGCCCCAGATTCAGACTTAGAATTTCCCCAGGCAGTTGACCCAGACCTATCATTCCTGCTTCAGTCCACCTCCAACCAAAAAAAACAAAACAAAATAAACCTCACTTTCATCGAGCTAATTTCCACTCAAAGTGCCACTATGACCTTGCAGTTAGTAGCCCAACTCATAAGCCACTATGCCCCCAGTCCAGGTCGAAAACAGAAATGTGCCCCGGCAGAAAGCAGAAGAGGGAGCTGCGTGCATTAGCCCTCCAAGTAGCTAGATCAGCCTGGATTCGTCTCTTCTCAGAAAGGCAACTGAGTGTGGTGCTTAAGAGCCTAGGCTTCAGACTTTACAATTTTCGCCTGGAGTTAAAAATTAGCCCTGCCCAATGTAACCGAGAGGAATTACTGAAGCCCAAATGAAGGCTGAACATGATACTGGGACAAGAGGAAAGTAAAAGGAAGTAGAGGAAACTAGGAGGCAAAGGGCATTTAAATATATTTATGTATGACGATGGGGAAATAGCTCTATGTGCATCTATGTATAGGTTTAGTATTAAGGTATCAGATGAACATCGGGCCTCCACTCAAGTACTCCCGCAATGCAAGAATACTTTGTTCTATTAAATTGGCATTCCACGATGCTCACCTGCTCCACATGATTGCTGAAGACAATGCGGGTGCATATGCAAATGTGGTGAAAAAAGCTCATGGTGACGACTGGCCATCAAAAGGTATAGCATCTGGGATCTTAATAGGTTGAAGGTAAACAAGCGGCCATCTAGCTGAGAAGTAACAAAGCCCATATGGAAGAAGCACACCAGCCGTGATCACCAGGTGTCTAAGGGATCAGGGATCAAGCATCAAAGAACAAAAAATCATATCGTTGTGAATGAGGGGGAGTGCAGAGCGGGGACCCAAGACCCATCTGTAGACAACCAGACATCCCCTTACAGAAGGGTCACAGGGAGGAGATGAGCCAGTCAGGGTGCAGTGTAGCAATGATGAAACATACAACCTTCCTCTAATTATTAAATGATGCCTCCCCACCCCCCCACTATCATGATCCCAATTCTACCTTACAAATCTGGCTAGACCAGAGGATGTACACTGGTACAGACAGGAACTGGAAACACAGGGAATGCAGGACAGATGAACACCTCAGGACCAGTGGTGAGAGTGGTGATACCAGGAGGGTTGGGGGAAGGTAGGATGGAAAGGGGGAACCAATTACAAGGATCTACATATAACCCCCTCCCTGGGGACGGCCAACAGAAAAGTGGGTGAAGGGAGATGTCAGACAGTGTAAGACATGACAAAATAATAATAACTTATAAATTATCAAGGATTCATGAGGAAGGAGAGGGAGGGAGGGGGGAAATGAGGAGCTGATACCATGGGCTCAAGTAGAAAGCAAATGTTTTGAGAATGATGATGGCAATAAATGTACAAAAATGTATGGATGGATGGATGGATTGTGATAAGAGTTGTACGAGCCCCCAATAAAGTGATTAAAAAAAATAGCCCTGCCATTGTTAGCTGCTTCACCTCTCTGAACCTCAGTTTCTTCTTCTGTAAAACAAGGGTCAAGTAGTAACCATCTCACGGTGCTATGAGGATTCAAGAGAGACGGTGCTGGCAGAGACTTAGCGCTGTGGCTGGCTTACAGGAGTGTCAGGCTGCCACACGATCAGGGAGGAGATATGGTGCTTTCTGTTCACCTGGCGTGTGAACTCAGGCAAGCTTTGTGGTCTGTGGTTCTGTTTCCAGGAACTTCCATGTCTGGAATGAAGCCTGGTTTGCCCGGACGGACGTGGGCCTCCCTTACAATGGATGGCAGGTGTTGGATGCGACTCCCCAAGAGAGGAGCCAAGGTAACCCTCTGCCGGCAGCTACATGTACTCCTCTCTGAGTTCACTCTAAGCCAAGAGACACCATCCCCCCTCCGTGCCCTCCTTCTTATTTACAGCAGTGGACAACAGTGCAGGAAGTGATCCAAATGCCCTGTCTCTCAGGAACCAACAGGGGCTTAAAACAAAAGTATTTTAGAAAGATATTTCTCTCCTCATTTTGTTTGGCTCAGGCTGCTGTTTAATTGAGCACCTTCCCCATGCAGCAATGCAGGAGAAGGCCCTGGCACGTGCCGGGCTACAAGGGAAAGAGCCTTCCTCTGCCAACATTGGTTCTCCTGCACCATGCAGCAGCCTGTGGTTCTCCATTACTTCTGGGATTCCGTCCAATCCCTCGCCTCTGCTGGAGGCATTCCGCAATCACGCCCCTACCACCGTTAGCACCTTCAGGAGCGTTCCTCTGCCAAGCCAAGCTCTCCTTTCGGCAGGCTTGCCTGTGCCTGACCCCCAGCCTGTGCTCACAGGCTCCGTACTCCCACTCCTAGCCTCTCCAGAAGTCTCTTCTCTTCCCTCTTCTAGAGAATGCATGAGGTCTGCTGGACACCTTTTGAACTGTTGATTCCAAACATATATATAGAGAGGGAATGTTGATTCCAAACACACACATATATATATTCTATATATGCAATATATGCAATTATAAAAGTAATCTATGCACATGGTTTTTAACTATTGAAACAGCTCTAAAAAAGACTTCAAATGAAAATTAAGTCACACCCTCACCCCAATCCCTAGCTACGACCTAGCTCATCCACCTGAAGCAAAACATGGTACTAGATTTCTTGAGGGGAGTTAAAGTTTTAAGCTACTTCTTAGGGCACTGCTTTGCAAACCTGTCATCAAATCCCACTTAAAAAATGATCAGTTCTACAGTTGAATGATCCGAGTTATGAGTATATTTTAAGAAATGAAACCAGATGGAATGGAATGGAAACGGAATGCTCTTTTAAATGGAAAACTCACTGCAATTTAGTCAACGCTGACTCACAGTGTCCCTATTTATGATGATATAAATCTTACGGGAGCAGGCACCCTCGTTTTCCTCTGGCGGAGCAGCTGGTGGGCTTGAACCATTAACCTTGCAGTTAGCAGCCCAACATGTAACTTACAGCGCCACTAAGGCAGGGAGCATGATACATAAGAAAGGGTAAATATTCCTCTGTGAAACTTTTATTTCAGTATCACCCAGGTTTCACAATATCAAAATGTATTTCTTTCAAGGAGCCATGGGAGAAAAAAAAACAATAAGAAAACCAGGCAGTAAAAGTGTGTGTGTGTGTGTGTGTGTGCATTCACGTGTGTGCTTTTTAAAATTTGCTCTGTAAATACAGATAAAAAATCATACTCTCCCTTCTATTGTGCACCATTACTTCCCTTTGCCAACCCAGTCCTCTGTTTCACACATGAAACGAAATCCGGTTTACAACCCAAGTCCGGTGCTGGGGCGGAAGGGCGCTGTGCAGAGCTCCCTGTGGGTCGGGCTCTTCAAGGGGGTCTTACAGGAGGAGAGGGTTTGGAGAGGAACGGTCCAGTAGCTCAGAGCACCGTAGGAAGCCGACTGAGGGCAGTCGGCATGCACGGAAGACAGGACTGGGCCAGGCTGATGCTGAGCTGGGGTTTGGCCAGGGTGCCGGGGCAGACAAAAAACCAAGAACCACCACGACCCCCAGGGGGTGGGGGGGGGGGTTGTACCAGGTGCCCAAGGAGTGGGGTGGGCAGTCAGGTTGGGGCGGCCTACAGGCAGGGGGGCTGGAGGGGTTGTGTGAAAGGCCTTTGGGAGGAATAGGCCTGGGGTGCGCTGTTGGCCTTGGTCAGGCCTCAACCCCTGTGTTCTGCCGCCCCCGCCCCCCAGGAGTGTTCCAGTGTGGCCCCGCCTCTGTCATCGCCGTCAGAGAGGGCGACGTGGACCAGGACTTCGACATGCCCTTCGTATTCGCGGAGGTGAACGCCGACCGCATTACCTGGATCTACGACGATGACAGCAACACGCTGAAGAAGAACTCCTCCGACGCGCGCTCCGTGGGCAAGTACATCAGCACCAAGGCCGTGGGCACCAACTCCCGCATGGACGTCACCGAGAAGTACAAGTACCCCGAAGGTAGGCGGCGGCTGCGTGGTATCAGCACGCGCATGCGCACGCACATACGCACGCACATACGCACGCACGCCGTGGGCACCAACTCCCGCATGGACGTCACCGAGAAGGTACCCCAAAGGAAGGCGCGGTATCAGCATGCGCACGCATCGCGCACGCATCACGCACGCATCACGCACGCATGCTCAGTCAGTTCTGCCTGCAGGGTAGGGTGACGCCCACCTCCGAGCCCTGTTTTCCCAGGGCTGATGCGCCTGTTGGTGGAAGTTTGCCGCAGGAGACCCGGCCTGCTGCCAGCCGAGTCCCTTTGCCAACTGCACGGCTGGGGTGGCAGCACCCTGAAGGAGCCCCGCAGGGGGAGCCCTGTCCCAGGGCAGGCCTTCAAGGCCCCTCCAGGACCGCTTTTTGAAACCTGGCACCCAGGCAGGAAACAAAACAAAGCACACAAAGCTCATCACCACGATGGCGACCACATGTGCTGCGGAGCAGAACTGCTCCCGAGCAGAACTGCTCCCGAGGGTATGTCTGGCTGCCACATTTACAGACTCATCCGTGGCACCCCTGGGTGGGAAGGGAGTGCCAACCGCCGACCTTCATGCCAGCAGGGGCACAAAACCGGTTTGGTGTTACACTTGGCCTCTCTGAAAAAGAGGAACGAGCCAAGAGACCCAAACACCGGGCCCATGCTGCCCCTCCGAGGTACCCCACGAAGCCAGGGTGAGGTGTGATGTCGTGGAGAGGTGACTGTCGGCTGCTCTGGGGCCTGCGGCACCATCTTGAGTGCTGACCAAGGAGCCCCCTGGAAAGCGGCTGTCCACAAGCTGCCTTTACCCAGAAGACACCTGCAGCTGCGTTCTGGAAGTGGCCGTCAGAGCCAGCACGTATTCTCTGAGGAGGGCCGGTGGTGTCAAAAGTTCTGCATTTGAGGACGGACGAGTTTTCTTTTTTCTTTTTCTCCCAAAAGAGCCAGTGGTTATTTACTGCGCTCTCTAGCGGGCTGCATCTCTCTTTCTCAAGCGCTCTTGAAATCCTTGGTTCTGATCATCCTCCTGGCCCCTTCTGAGGGGCGTTGCAAAATGCTCCCCTTAAGATGCCCACAGTAAGTCCCAAGGCTTGTGGTCACGGCTGTATTGTTGTATAAAAGGGGAAAGCTGGGCCCAGGAGATGTATAGGTCTGGCTCCCTGTCCAGGTGAGTGATCCCTCTGGGTCATGAGTGGCCTTCATGGACATTTTGGGGCGTGACACTAGGTAATAAGGCTGGTGGACTCCATTCTCCCTACACACACACCCCTGGCCCCAGCTCTAAAGGCCACCCCCAGGCTTTGATGTTGGGCAGACCTTCGCTTTGTCAGCACAGTGCACAACTCTGAGCTGGGCCCTGAGGTTGCAGTGGGAGCACCCCACACGAAGCCTCTATCTTTGGGGAACTCGTGAACCAGGGAAGCAGGGAAGGCAGATGTAGGACCAGTATTTTCAACACGCATGACAGCAGAGTAACTAACCAGTGTCGGGGTCCAGGGAACAAAGACCCCAGGGCAAGGAATGGGCTCCAGTCCCACCACTGTGATGGACGACATTATCAAACGATACTGGCCGTGCTTGTCTGGACTAGGATTTAAATGGTGCAGTGAACCCAGAAGCATCTCGGAAGAAAAGGATGGTGTTCCATTTCTGAAAAGCCGTCCCTTGAAAGCCCTGCCGAGCGCTGGTCTACACTGGTACACACGTGGGGTTGGCATCGACTGGATGGCGACTGGTGTGGTCAGTGGGCACAAAGGGGCAAGCCCAGTGCCTGGCATATAGTAAACTTGAACTCAGTGCCATCGAGTTGACCGACACCAACGCATGGCGGCCCTATAGAACAGGGTAGAACTTCCCCGTGAGTTTTCCAAGGCTGTAACTCTTTACGGGACTAGGAATCCCGTCTTTCTCTCAGCACATCAAGTAAGGGCTTTGTAAATATTGGTGGTCACCTTTATGCGTTTGAACATCCACAGCCTCATTGGAATCATAGGCTCTCCAGGTCACTGTTTAGAAGCGCAAGAGTGAGCCTGAGGGTTCTTCCCCTACTGCTCTGCCATGACTCGGCCTCCAGGGTCTCGGACTGTCCCAGTCAAGCCCCCTGAGCAATGGCAGCTGTAGGTGGGATGGGTGGAGGGGTGCCTGCAGGACTCCAGAGTCTGTGCCAGCCCCTGCGTGACAACAGGCTGCTCATCCTGGCCAGCTCTCCTTACCCAATGATACCCACTTGTCTCTGAGGGCCTGAGGGAGGAAAAGCCCATAAAACGGTTGCTAAGCATTTGCGCAATCACAACACCGGACAGCCAGCAGTAGCAGGAAGTATAGTGTTGCGTAAGCCCAGCAGGTGACCTACATAGGTAGGTCTAGGCTCTGAGCCTTCTTGTGCAAGCACATCTGCTTCGAGATCCTGGGCATGAAAGACTCAGATCCTGCCCAGGCATTGGCCCAGAGTGTGCACTTGCAGCGCAGCGGGGAAATGGGACAGCACCAGCAGGAACCCAGCCCACCGGGAGCTATCCGCTTGGGTAATCGACCTGCCTCCTTTTCAGTTGGGTGTTAAACGGGAGGAGCCTTAAATCTGGATGCCTTGCACCTGGCGACCGGCTCCGGTCTTCCGCTAATCCCCAGAGCGGGCTGGACAAGGCCTTCCTCCTCTTAGGGCCTTAACTCTCTCGTGATAGACTTGGATGAATTGGCATCCAAGGTTTCTGCCGGTGCTTCGGGAACTGAAGGGGAAGGATTAGCTCCACTGTCAAACGCTAAGAATAAACCAGCCGTTGCCTGTCAGCCTGGGGGTGGGTGGCGGGGGAGGGCATGGGTGTGCTCTGCAAAGGGAAAATGGTTGTTCTCCTCTGTGTGTCTCTGCCCTGGTTCCTAGAAAGTTGGTCTTTTTCCTTGGTCTTGGGCCAAGACAGGGGCCCCATGGGAACTGCTGACTCAGCCCAGGCTGATGCTTGGATTCGGTGACTCAGCTCCTGGTGCCACGGGAGCAAGTGAGCTCCAGGGCACAGCCTGGTGACTTTCCGTGGGCAGTGTGTGCCACCGCCTCCACCAGCAGCCATCACCTTAGTCAGAGTCAGAAACCTGCCCTTTAATCCAGCCCTTGTGGGAAACCTGCAATTTCTCGATAATTGGCAGTAATTATAACTTGGGGACCATACCAAGCCTGGGACGGTCTTGTCAGCTGCCGTAGACTGGAGGGCCCCTCAGACCTCTCACGATTGGTTTCAGGAACAAGGCAGAAGGACACGGTCAGGCGGTTTTAAAGGTTCTTCTCGGTCGCAGCCATTTGTTTATTATTTTTAATGACACGCAGTTCTCCAACGGGGACTGCGTTTGTAGGCCGCGAGCTCACGCTCACCTTCTTCGGCTCCAGTTTCAATTTTGAAATTGGTGTGTGTTCTCTAAGTTTCCCTAATGGTCTTAGAAATGGCCTATTGCGGAAAAAACAACGGCATCCAGCCTCAGTAACCTAATAAGGAAACTGTGGAGCCCCCTAGCAATCTTATGCTGGTCTCGACCAAGCTTCTTGGAAATGCACAGCTGCCTGGAAGATGCCCCGACTGGCTGGCTGCTTCACGAGGACACAGTGTGTCTCAGAGAGGCCGGCACAAGCCTAAGGCAGCACCGTCGGCGTCAGTAGAACCAGTACTGCGCCTGTGCACCGTTCTGGTAGGCGCTGTCCACTCTCTGGGTACCACGTTTCTTTGCGTTTTTTAATATCTTAAAAGTTTTGTTGCCTTTCAGTCAGATATTATTTAGCATTTTTCATTCGTATTTTAAAATTACTTTTAAAAATAACAATCTAGTTTTGCGGTCTCTTTCGTGGTTATTTAAATGTATGAAATCCTGAACTGATTGCTTTTTTTATACTTAAAACAGACAGTAGGGTAGTGAACTGGGTTTTTTTAATCACTTTATTGGGGAGGGCACTCTTACAGTTATTATAACAATCCATAAATCAATTCTATCAAGCAAACTTGTACATATGTTGCCATTGCCCTTTTCAAAATATTATCTTTCTACTTGAGCCCTTGATATCACCACCTTTTTTCCCTGCTTCCCCCACCCTCCCACCCTCATGAACGCTTGATAAATTATATATATAATGTCACACACCCTGCTGTAGTCCTTCACCCACGTTTCTGTTACTCATCCCCCTAGGCGGGAGGAGGGGTGTTGTGCATCCATCATTTTTATTGGTTCCCCCTCTCTCTCATTCTCCCCCCGCCTTCCTCCTACCCTCACGGTATCACTACCCCTGTTACTGTTTCTGAGGGGGTTATCTGTCCAGGACTCTGTGTATCCCGAGCTCTTATCTGTACCAGTCTACATACTCCGGTCTAGCAGGATTCTTGAGGTAGAACTGGGGTCATGATAGGGGGCGTTAAAGAACCAGAGGACTGTTGGGGACCACATTTCTGGTAGGTGCTGTCCACCCTCAGGTTCCACACTACCCCCGAGATGCTCCTCTCCTTTCCAGGTTCCAACCAGGAAAGACAAGTGTTCGAAAAGGCTCTGGGGAAACTGAAACCCAACCGCCTGTTCAACCCAACGTCTGCCGGGGACTCCGAAGGAGAAGAGCGGGAGCCCAGCATCGCTGGGAAGTTCAAGGTCACTGGCATTCTGGAGGTGGGCAAGGAAGTCAACCTGGCTCTGATCCTGACAAACCTGACGAGCGATACGAAGACGGTGACGGTGAACATGACGGCCTGGACCATTGTCTACAATGGCACACTGGTGCACGAGGTGTGGAAGGACTCCATCACCATATCCCTGGACCCCAAGGAAGGTAACGTGTCATGCTGGGGGGGTCCCATGCCCCCCAACCTTACAGGAATACCTCCTATGGACCCGGGCTGGAACCATCCTGTGGTTAAGTCGTAGGTTTGCTGCTTTGGAAGGTGCTAGCACTGTGAGCAGCACAACTCAGGGTGGTGTCAGCCAAGATCTATTGGCACCCTGGGGGAGGACAAAGGGGGGCACTGATGGTTTGTGGCCACAGCACCAGTAGGTCTGGCAGGTGTTCCCCACCTCGCACAGTCCTTGATGCCCTAAAAGAGGCAGATCTCAGTAGCCCCATCATTCCCAAGGCCACCACAGCCACTGCCACCCACGGCCACCTCCTGGGTTACCGAGTAGAACTGCTCCCTAGGGTTCTTGATAGCAGCAGCTCCCCAGGCCTGCCTTCTGGGCAGTTGCTGGGTAGGTCCCGACGGCCACCCTTGAGGTTAACAGCCATCCCAAACGGCTTGCACCATTCCATCTCACAGAGACAGAAACCGAGGCTTGGAGAGGGGAGGCGGCCTGCTTATGAGGTCAAGTGTCACAGACAGCAAGTGGCAAGGCTAGGGTCTTCAGTCCAAGTGTCCTGATGGCAGCCCCACCCCTCTCTTTTCGATGCTGCTTTGCGGTGGCCTCGCTTCTCACTCCCCCTGCCCCAGATACCAGCCTGACCCCGGAGGGTTGCAGGACCCCACAGGCTTTCCAGCCTGGGCCCCATTCTCCCCCAATGCTGTCGGGGAGGTGGGTGGAGCTCCCTGACTCTGGGCAGGTTTTTCCTGGAGGTCTGAGCAGTAGACGGGCATAATGACTTCTCGTTCCTGGGCAACACCAATGGGGTGGAAGCAAGGTGGAGCAGAGAAGTCCGTGGAAGGATTGGAATGCAGGTGTGCCCACATGGAAAAAGCCCTTCAAACACTGATGAGAAGTGTGCACTTATAAAGCAGATGTACCGGAGTGGAGGCTTTATTTGCTCCACGCCGGGAACTACTCAAAAGAACTGGTTAACTAGACAGCCCATCTCAACCGGATGCTGTCAGCAGAGAAAGGCCAACGTGTCAGAAGCAGCCTCCCCCCGGCAGTCTGTCTCCTGGCAGGATTGTCACGGAAATGTTCTCCACACCGCAAGTGGCTGGCTGGCTTTTTGCTCACCTCTAAAGCCCAGCGGGAGAGCTATTTTTGTAGGGCCAGGAATACTTCCCGGGAGGGAAGTGGTTAAGAGGTAACAGAATGAATGGGGAGAGGCCCGGAAGCGGTTCTGGGGCGTTCTCTGTGGGATCCTGGCCCGGTCCCTTTCTCTTTTGGAGCCTGTGTTTCCTGCAGGAGAGGGTGGGACCCGCTGCCCTCAGACCTGTCATCCTTCTATTGGGCCGCTTGACAAATCCCCCTAGTGGACAAAGCCAGGTGGGCTTCCTCGTTCAAAGAGCCTACAACTCATGGGTGCCTTCGGCGAGCGCGCCTAGAACATGCGGGAAATCAGCCTTGCGTAGCACATCGAATGAAACTTGGTCACGCGCCACGTGGTGACCACATGGGGCAAGGCACCCCACACCAGCTGCGGAGGATGTGGTCTCCCGGGGGCCCGTGATACCAGAAGAGGGACTGTGAACGTTGGGGATGGGCTGGGGAACCAGAGAGAAGCCAGGGAGGGCATGTTCATCCAAGAGTGCCATGGGGGTCACGTGGAGGTGAGCTGCACCTTGTCCCCAGGACAGACCCGCTGGGAAGGGCTGAGACCACTCCTGAGGTACGGGAGAGCTGAGCTGGGCTCCTCTGAAGCCGTGGCGGAGGCACAAGACATTTTTGAGCAGTGACATGCTTTTTTAAAATAAATAAGTGGGCGTTTAGAAAGCAGCAGCCTTGTTCCGCTGGTGAGTGCATCATTGGGAAGCAGGAGAAACCAAAGCTGGGGTGGGGAGGGGTGGCCACCGGGTATTGAAGGCTATTGCAACCAAGTTGGAGGATATTAGATGCCCGGGGGCCTGCCAAGCGTGTCATCAGTTCCCGGGCTTCCTTTCATAGTTATTGCCACCGTTGTCAACCTCGCTACTCTTAGCATGAGGCAACCAGTCCACCTTTGGGTCCTCTCCTGAGTCTGGAAGCCTCCAAGCTTGTCCAGAAGGTGAAAGGAACCACAGGAGCTTCTGTCCCTGCAAATCCACCCTCCTGGGAATCTACCCGGCCACACGGAGGCCCAGCCTCGCCAGGCCCTCCCTAGAGACTGTGCAGGCAGAAGACTCGCCCCATAAAGCCCGGTACCAGGAGAGTTCGGCCAAGCCTGACCTGACAGGGACTCCTGGCCGCTCGCACCGAGTAGCGCCCATCAGCCTCTGCAGAAGGTGCCGGGGCCATCGTACCCTCTCTCACCTCTCTGCCTCGCCCCTCCTTCCAGAAACACTGTACCCTGTGAAGATTCCCTACTCTCAGTACGAGAAGTTCCTGAAAGCTGACAACATGATCCGCATCACGGCCGTGTGCAAGGTCCCAGATGAGGGCGAGGTGTTGGTGGAGCGGGACATCATCCTGGACAACCCCTCCCTGACCCTGGAGGTGAGGCCCGGTGTTGGGACAGGGGCAGTGGGAGAGGCAGAGCCAGGTGTAACTCAGGTCTAACTTCTGCCAACTGGATTGGCCAAGAGGCCCCGCCCTGCCGGTGCTCCAAGCCCTGATAGGTGTGATTAATAAGCCTACTTCTTCTAGACCAGCGGTTCTCAACCTGTGAGTCGTGACTCCGTTGGGGGTCCAGCGACCCTTTCCCAGGGGTCACCCAATTCATAACAGTAGCAAAATGGCAGTGATGAGGTAGCAACGAAAATAATTTTGTGGTTGGGAGGTCACCACAACATGAGGAACTGTATTAAAGGGTCATCATGGCATTAGGAAGGTTGAGAACCACTGTTCTAGATGCACTGGGGTGACTCCCTGAGGAGGGGCTCCCTCTCCTGCACATCTCCCTCTGTCAGGGGCTCAGCCCCTGCTGTGGTGGGGCCTGTGCTAGGCTCTGGCATCACAGAGAGGTGCAAGTGTGAGTCTCCCCCATTGAAACTGGTGTGCCTCATCCCAGGGCTCATAGCCCAGCCGCATTCCGGTGCAGGCCTGACTCACCAGCACCTCTCTGCTCTCAAAACCCTGGAGCAGCAGATCCTAGACTCTGAAGAGCCTCAGATCACACTCCTTTGCCTTCCATTTCACACATGAGTAAACTGAGAGTCAAAGAGAAAGGATGAGCCAGCGCCCACCAGGACCTGGGCTAGACCTCCGACTGGACTCCCAACCAGTACTCTCTCCCAAGCATCCTGGCACGTCAGAAGCCCGTGAACACATCCTGGGGATGCCCCCCAGTGAGGACCCTCTCATGCTGCTTTTCCAGGAATTGCTTTGGTCTGAACACAGTGGGGGCGGGCGGTGGGCTGTCTGCTCCCGTAAAGAGTCACCGCCTCAGAAACCCTAAGGAGCAGTTCTACTCTGTCCTATGAATCGGAATCACCTTGGCAGCCGTGGGTTTGGTTGGAGGGTGGTTTTGTCTGCAGGCCCAGCACAGATGGAGGATACACAGTGCTGAGGGGCCAGGGACAGGGCAGGGACCGGCAGGCGGGTGGGCAGGAGGACGGGTTCTTCCTTTGGGGTCCCACAGAGAACCCTGTGAACCAGGTTCCTCCCTTGTCTGTTGCACTTGCCATCTGCCCCGCTGTCTAGACCGTGACAGCATTGTAATCACCCTGTCCCCAGCTCTTCAAGCCCAGGTTCTCAGAGGAGCCAGGTAATTGTGGCCATCCTGGCTCCCGCCCTTTCTAAGCTGCAGAGCCCTCGGTGCAGACGTTCCTGACCATAGACAAAGGCCACGGGAACCGAGGAGCCCACCGGGCTCGCAGCCGCAGGGCACCTCCTCTGGTGGGAGTTTCCAGGTTTCCCCACCATGAAGGAGCCCTGGCACCATCCAGGTGTGGGCTGTGCTGCAGAATGGGGAGCAGACCCCGCTAAGAACCAGGGAGCCAGTCATCTGGGGGGCGCAGAGAGGGACAGTAGCTCAGACAGGGGGGGCACGTAGCCAAATAGTCCTGTAACAGATCTTAGCCACACCCTTTACCAGCTGTGAAAAGGGTTGAGTCCCGCATCTCGGAGTTATATCTGCTCCAACTCTGTCAGAGAGATCATTAAACCCTGCCCTGCAGGGAGCTTGAACTGACGGGGTCCTCAAACTTTTTAAACAGGGGGCCAGTTCACTGTTCCTCAGACCCGTTGGAGGGCCGGACTATAGTT